TCCTTCCTTCCTTCCTTCCTTCCTTCCTTCCTTCCTTCCTTCCTTCCCTGCCCCCTCTCTTTCTCTCTTTCCTTCCTTTCCTCCATCCCTCCTTCTCCCTCCCTCTCCCTCTCCATCTCTCTCTCTCTCCCTCCCTCCCTCCCCCTGCACAATCTACCATGCCAATTTGCTTTCCTTTTAAAATAAGAAAGACGAAATCATAGCACAGCCACCCAAAGAGAAAAGGGAAGATAACGGAGCCATTCCCCTTTTTTAATTCCTCCTCTGGGCACCTGAACCCTTTTCAACCTGTCACCCACTAAGGGTGCTTGAAAGCCTCTGCTGCCTGAGCATTTTGAGTTGTGCGATCTATTGGCCCCGCTTGGGGCAAACCTAAGCACAGACCCACAATGGATGTCCGTGATCTCAGGCAGCTGGAAGGGTTGGGAGCATAGACCAGAGTGCCAGGGCCAGTTTTCGACTTCCCTGAGAGCCGGTGAAAATCTTCACATTGGCAGGAGGTGGCGCCATCAGTCAACGTGGCCTAAGGGCAATCATGCCCCCTTCAGTGGCACCGTAGAATCCAAGATCGGAAAGCTCTGGAAAGATTGTTAAAACAATAGGCTGGATTTGTATAACCGGCTCAGACAGAATGGGGCTAGGTTATTTTGGGCGCCAGCCTGATGTGTGAACCCTAACTAAGGGTGTGTGTATGTGTGTGTGTGTGTGTGTTAAACTAGAAGTCTTCCAAGGTCCCTTCCAATCTGTTATTTCTGTTATTTCTATTCGCCTACCCAGTTGCCTGTTAAATTAGCCTCTTTATTGCTTGTTCTGAGCCCGGAATATTTTGCAAATAGGGGGTTGCTTGGGGTTTCCTTAACCTTGGGTTTAGCTCGGCCAAAGCCTCTCAGAGCTCCTTCAGTTTATGAACGGGAAGAAAATGCCATTTTTCTGGGATTTTGCACCGACGGGGACAGTTGTTTAACTGCGCTCACCCTGCCCGGCTGCTTCTCTGGGCTCCTCTGGGTTCATCCAAAACACCCCCGAAGACCCTTGGGTAGCACAGGGCCATCCATACTGCACCCACCACCCGCTGGTTCTTGAGTTGCTACCACATCTGAAGTTCTGTCTTGGGTTCCCATTTCATGGGAGCTTGGTATCTTGCATTCAGGCTGTGCGGAAACCCCGAGCCAGCTCCATATTTCATCTAGTTCATATTTAAGAGTCTTAAGAAAGGATCGGACAGCTATCCTGAATAGTGTAGGATTTCCTGTAGCGGGGCTGGACTAGAAGGCCTTCAAGTCCCTTCCAGTCCTATTATTCTATGTTCTAAAGAGGAGGCATGATGAAGTTATTGGCGAAAAAGAAGTGAACTGTTAGGATGTCCTGCAACCAATAACCCCATACTTCTCAATAGAACCCACCTTAAAACTCCCTTTTTATGACTCCGTAATCCCTTAATTCAGGGTAGAGTCAGGGTGACTGGACGGAGCGGAGCATTTACTGGCCGGATGCCCTTCCTGATCCAAGGCAGAGTTGGCAGCAGATTATTATTTTTTCTCTGCACCCTAGGAGACAAAAACTTCTGCCGCTACCTAGGATTGAACACTCTCAAACTTCCAAGTGGGAGAGTCTTCACCGCTAGGCCAACACACCACCCTCAATAGAACCTACCTTATAGGTGGTTAATTCCACGTTAGCGTCTCCTTTTTGGAGAAAAAGCCTAGCCAATTGCAGCTTAAGCCTGAAAACTTTGCACCTTTGCTGTTGAACAATGGAGAATTCAAAAATCCTCTGGCTGTTATTTCCCCTCTTCCTATTTGACTTTTCTTTTTCTTTTTCGGCAGCTGTGAAATGGTTCATTTTCACTTAGTTTACTTTTGTCAAAGCTCATTCTTATTTGAACCCAAAGCTTTATCTCTCTTTTTTTTTTTCTGTTTTGGTTTCTGGCTAAGTGACTCACGCCCCAGTCATCTCCCACCCCTCCCAGTTTCCCAGTTGGTCCCACCAGCTTCGAATTTCTCCAGGGTGTTGCTTGGTTTTAACCTTTGCTATATGCACCATACAAAAACGGTAAGATTCCCGCAGAAGATCGTTTTCAGATTGGGGAAACTGAGCGTAAGTAATGATAACATTTGCCCCGGACAATGACTGCAGTGACATGAAGAGGGTGGGACGGTCCAAATTCAGCCTCGTTGCCCCTCCAAGGTCAGAAAAGGTTTAATTTTGGGGAGCTGACTTAAAAGACCCCGGACGTCTGTTATGGCTGGGATGAATGAGTCACACAAGCGAAGCCCCAGTGACCCAGACCAACAGAAAACCAAAAACCACAACCTCGGCTTTCAGGCCGAGGCAGCTCCTTTCAACATCCAGAGCCAAAGACCAGAAAGGAAAACAGCAGTTCTAGGGCACTATTATGGGATGGAGATAAGCTGTGGGAGCAGATCAGCCTGGCTGCCTTAAACTAAGTGTCCTTGGTGCCGTCGTGCAACTGCTGTTGCTCGGTCTACAGCTGACTAAGGAGAAATCCTCCCCCAGCCATCTGTTCCCATTATCCTTCGGCCAGAACCAGCTAATGTGTGCTTGCTTGTCCTCCCCACTACCCGCCCCCCTCTGCCTTGCAAGCGAAGCTCCAGGACTCTTGCATTAATTCTGCACCAGTCGCATCGCCTCCTTACGCTAACATCTTTCCTTGGCTGCCTTTTAGGGGCTTTCTGGCTGGCTGAAAGAGAACAAAATGAGCCCAAGACGGACTTTTCTCTTCCTCCTCCTGGCAGGAGCAATCGCCGTGCTTCAGTGTCAGGTAAGAGGCCGGCGTGGCCCATCTGGTGGGCTTTTCGCTGGCTTTGCTCGGCAGCCAGGTGCGGTTTTAGGGACTCCCGTCAGAAAACAGATGGGTTTTTTTTTTTGTTTTGTAAGCTTGGCTCGAGCGGCGTCATCGATCAAAAGAGTATTTATTTGGGCCTTGGGACAAAAAGGCTCACGGCCAAGTTCACCGAGCTGAGAAAGCTAGTCGGGTTCTTTGAAAGATACAAAAGGAAGACGGATGAGAGAAGGATCCAGTCCTGCAAATCTCTGGGCTGGATCCAAGTCCAATCACGAACAGCTTCCTAAAGAGGAAGGCTCTTAAGAGAATAGCAGAATCGAATCACAGAGTTGGAAGTGAGCCTTCTAGTCCAGCCCTATACCCTATAACGGGAGACCCTACAGCATTTCAGACAAGTGACTGTCCGGTCTCTTCTTAAAAAGCCTCCTGCAATGAAGCCCCCACATCTTCTGGAGGCAAGCCGTTCCACCGGTTAATGGTTGACAACCTCAGGAAATTCCTCCTTAATTCCAGGTTGCTTCTCTGCTGGATTAATTTCCACCCATTGCTTCTTGTCCTGCCTTCTGGAGCTTTGGAGGATAGCTTGGCTCCTTCTTCTGTGGGGCAGCCCCTGAGATATTGGAAGACTGCTATCACCTCAGCTTTTTTACACCGTCAGGTGTGGATGAAATCTTCCTGCCGCTTTTCCCTTTTAGCATTTCTACTGTTAGAATCAAATCCTGCCTTCATATTATTATTATTTTTTTCGTCATCCGCTCTCTGTATCTCAATTTGGAGCATTCAAGGAGGAGGATGGTGGAAGTGGGATCGCTATCCGAAGGGATCCTCGTGCCAGCTCTGTTCCTCTTGTGCCTTTGTACAAAAAGGCACGACTTGCGCTGAGGTTTGGCATCTCATGTGTCGTGATGCACACACACACACAAAACCTATGGACACCAGGGTTTATGAAACACTTCTTCCAAAGGCTCGTGCTGGTTCTCCTCTAAGAGTAATGAGAATTATGATAACGAGCAGTACTATGAGAAAAAATAATGAGAACAATTAATTAGTGGAATGGCTTGCCTTCAGAAGTGGTAGGTGCTCCTCACTGGACGTTTTCAAGAAGAGATTGGACAGCCATTTGTCTGGAATGGTGGAGGGTCTCCTGTTTGAGGAGGGGGGTTGGACTAGAAGACCTCCAAGGTTCCCCCCTTTTCTAACCCTTGGAATTTAGTCAACTTTCTATTCTTGATGGTCTTGTTTGCTCTTTTTCTCTTTCTAGGACCTGTTTGTACGCATTACCCAAAGTGGCCGAGAAAGTCAACTAAGAAGAGGTAAGTGCCCATTGGAGGAGACTATGGAAGTATGAAAGAATAGGAATAGAATAGAGTTAGAAGGGACCTTGGAGGTCTTCTAGTCCAGCCCCCTGCTTAAGCAGGAGAACCTATACCACTTCAGATAAGTAGCTGTCTAGTCTCTTCTAAAAATCTCCAGTGACGGAGCACCCACGATTTCTGGTGGCAAGTTGTTCCACTGGTTAATTGTCCTCCCTGTTAGGGAGTTTCTCCTTAATTCAAAGTTGCTTCTCTCCTTGATTAGTTTCCATTTATAGTTTCTTGTCCTGCCCTCGGGTGCTTTGGAGAATAATTTGACCCCCAATTCTTCTTTGTGGCAGCCCCTCAAATCCTGGAATGCTGCCATCATGTCACCCCTAACTCTTCTTTTCTCTAGACTAGCCAAGCCCCAAACCTGCGGCTGTTCTTCATATACGTTTTAGTCTCCAGGCCTTTGATCCTCTTAGTTGCTCTTCTCTGAACTTTTTCCAAAGTCTCAACGTCTTTTTTTATAGCATGGTGACCAAAAGTCTTTTACTTCAACCCTCTTCCCCAGGCAGGAGTCCTCAAACTATCTCAGATAAGCTCATTAGAGAGACCCGATCGGTAACTAAGAAGACATTTCCTGACAGGGAAAACAGTTAATCAAAGCTTGCCTCCTGGAATGGTGGAGGTTTGCAGGAAGAGAACAGCCATACGACTAGGATGGTAGAAGGCTTTGATGAGAAGACCTCTAAGGTCCTTTCCAACTCTTGTTTATTATTCTATCTTCTAAATCGGAAGAAGGTGGCTGATAGTGCATCCCCCAAAGGATGGAATGCCCAAAGAGTAAATACTGGGGTGTGTGTATGTGGGAAAATGGGAATTCAGTGCCTTTCCAAATACAGGTAGTCGTTGACCTACAACAGTTCATCTAGTGACCGTTCAAAGTTACAAGACCACTGGAAAAAGTGGCTCATGACCGTTTTTCACACCACTGTTACGGCCTCCCCGTGGTCCTGTGATTAAAATTCAGGTGCTTAGCGACGGATTCATATTTACGGCCGTTGCAGTGTCTCTCGGGGGTCACGTGATCCCCCTTCTGACGAGCAAAGTCAACGTAGAATCCAGGTCCGCTTAAAAACCACGATGCTAATTTAACAAGAGCGACGATTCACTTTAGCGACTGCGGCAAGAAAGGTCATCCAATGGGGTAAAAAACATGTCTCACTTAGCAACAAAAAAAAATGGTGGGGCGGTTTGAATTGTAGTCGCATGTGAAGGCCTATCTGCATCTGCAGATCATGTGAACAGCAAAGCAACGGCCTGCGTCGATCCTCCAAAACAGCGGAAAACATCCAGTTCTCTTCCTGCAGTTTCTGTGGTTCTACTCGATTCTTGAGAAGATTCTTAGGGCTCCTCAAGAGGGCCGGGAGATTTGCACTTTTAAGAAAAGAGATTAGCCAAGCTTTGTCCCCACAGACTAATCTGACAAGAGTCTTTTAGATTTGGCACACCCTTGGTCCTTTTCTTTTATATTTAAATAGGTCTATAACTGCCTTTCCTCATCGAATGCCAGGCTGGTGTAGGAAATACCATGTCAGTAAAACCTAGCGTAATAAACCATGCCAATAATAAAACCACATCAACGGCAGCGGGATAAAAGCAGGAAAGGCATACAATTGTTCACTCGGGTCAACCCCTTTTATAAAAACATTTTCTGCTGCCCAAGCAAATAAATAAGGTTGCGAACTGGCGTCGCAGAGAACGCTTTTCAGATGTGGTTTGGGTGGCTTGCCATATCTTTGGAGGAAGAAAACTCCTTTTTTGCGGGTGGGACAAAAATGAGGCTCGCGGAGGAGAGTCGATCCAAGCTGTAGATTGTTCTGTGCTGCACACACAACGGTGAAGGGAGAAAAGGCAGGACTCATGTCTTGCCGTCGCACCTGGGAAGGATTTCTTGTCCTTTTTGATTACAGGCAAGTGCAGAGACCCCTACACCAAACAGGCCTACAGTTGGAAGGAGAGTTGGCTCCGCCGCGTCAGAGAGAGAACGGAGTATTGTCGGTGTGAGAACAGCGGCATCTTCTGCCACGCAGTCCCTGTCAGAGGTGAGTTCCACGTGGGGCTTACAAATCCAGCGATGGCATTTATTGGTTAGGTTTCTAACCCGCCTTTATTTTGTACATGGTACATATAGTCCAGGAAGCTTCATGTCTTCCACCAAGTGGCCAACTTTGGAGCTCAAACCAACAGCCCGTAAAGCTTCGTGCTCCTATATTCGACACAGAAGCAATTCTGTTGGTCGGAGAGGGAGGGTGTGGCCCACAGCCTGCAATAGGGTTTCGGTGATATCCTACTGGCATCCTAATGGGCCACCACTTAAGTATTCCAGTACCTAAGGGGCTGCCTCACAAAGAAGAGAAGGTCAAATTATTCTCCAAAGCACCCCAGGGCAGGACAAGAAACGATGGAAACTAAACAAAGAGAGAACCAATCTGGAATTAAGGAGAAACTTCTTAACAGTGAAAACAATTAACCAGTGGAACAGCTGGCCACCAGAAATCATGGCACTCCATCCCTGGAGGTTTTTAAGAAGAGTCTGGGGATAGTCACTTGTCTGAAATGGCATAGGTTCTCCTGCTTGAGTAGGGGCTGGACTAGAAGACCTCCAAGGCCCCTTCCAGTTCTACTCTATTGTAAGTAGGAGCCAGCTTGCTAAATTGGTAACGTTTTGGAAGGGAAACTCACGTTCCAGAAGGTTCTTGAGAGACTTGAACCCTGGAGACTATAGAAAGAAGTGCAATTGGGTGATGAGAAAGGTAAGGCCCTGCACTTTGGCCGGGAAAAACAAATGCACAAGTACAGAACAGGTGGTAATCGGCTCTAACATAACAACGGGGAGAGGAATCTACCTGCCCTAGTTGAGCCATCACTTACGTAGGAGCCAGCAGTCTGCTGTAGCTGCCAAAAAAAGCCATTGTAGCCGCATCAATAGTGATAGCATCAAGACCAGTGATAGTACTGCTTTACACCGTGCTGGTAAAACCACACGTGAAATACTATGTCCGGTTCTGGCCGATACAATGCAAAAGAGATGCTGAGGCCTTGGAAAGAGTGCAGAGAAAGATCAGCAGTTATAGGGAGCTGGAAACTACGTCCAGCCTAATGAAGAGAAGGATTAAGAGGGGCCTAATAGCCGTCTTCCACTACTTGAGGAGCTGTCACACACAGAAGAGGCGGTTGGTTCATTCTCCAAAGCACCTGAGGGCAGGACGAGAACCAACGGGTGGCGGAAGCTTGTTGAGGAGGACAATGACACAGCTTGCCTCCTGGAGTTGTGGGTCGCTGGAGGTCTTCAAAGAAAAGTTTGGACAGCCAATAGCCCAGGATCAGTAAGGTCTTTTGATTTTGGCAGGGGTTGGACTAGAAGACCTCCAAGTTCCCTTACAGCCCTGTGATTATATGATTCTCTGATCCTAGCTTGCTAGTGTCTACAGCCTAGGTGTTCCTGTCCCATGCCAGCATTTCGTCCTTCTCCGACATCGGCACGTGGGCTGGGAAAGAACTTCTGGCGAAGGAGAATAACGGCCCTGGGTCCTCTCCCCATCTGGCCCCCAACCCCTTCCCCACTGCCCCCACCCTGGGCTGAGCGGGAGGGACTGGCCCAAGGTCTCCCAGGCAGCTTTTGTGCCTCAAGGAAAACTAGAACTCACAGCCTCCTAGTTTCTAGCCCAGCGCCTTGGGCCAAACCTGTCCCCAAACTAGCTCTCTCTGTCCAGGGTAGATTGGGAGCAGGTGGCAGAAAGAAACCAGCCTGGTTGCAGAAAGGAAATGCAGAAGTAGGAAGGAACAACGCGCCGAAGTCAAGACTCCTGGGCCAGTTAAGGTGGGCCCACCCAGTACAGTTTAGCTGAAAGGAGGTGGAAGTGGGAATTGGACTGGGAGAAGACCGTTCCCAACAGCTGTTTGGTTTCAACCCTTTCTGGTGGGAATGACTGGGAAACTTCTCTTGTGTATCAACCTAGCTGTCCTGCCTTTGTGTCATGGCTCTCTCCTCCTCCTGCAAAGAAGCGAAGACAGGCGCGGGCACGGAAGGGAGGAATTAAGGTGCTGTTATTTTCTGTCCCACAGGCTGCATAAAGCCACTTTGCCTCCACGGGGGCCGCTGCCAGAAAGCCCTTTATTCCCCCAACCTTTTCATTTGCTTCTGCCCACCGGGCTTCTCGGGGAAATTCTGTGAAATTGGTGAGTATGTGACACGAGGATGAACTGATACGCAGGTCGGGCAGTTCAAGATGTATGTCCTCAAGATGGACAGGGGTTAATATTTATATGTATGTATAAGTGAGTGTAGACATACACCCATATGCTATATACCCATATGCTATAGGTATATAGCATATGGGTGTTACGTATGTCTACACTTTTGAGAGCAGGCAACAGAATTTCATTTTTAATGTGGGCCAGTGTGTCCACAGCAAACAAAACAAAACCCAACAATAAGGGTGATCTGATCTTATCTAGTTCAAACGAATATAAAGGTTTATTGCAAAACTTGTACTCCCTACAAGAATTTGAACTACAAAACAAGTTAGCGTTCGATCGGAGTCAGTGGAATTGGCTGGACTTAGATGTCTTGTGGGCACGCAGGGACTCATGACTGATGACGTGTTTGACTCCTCCCTCGGGCTCAGCCTGCGCACCTACAATGCGCCATCTAGGAAGCCAGGGGTGGATTTTCACCCATGCTGTGTCCCCTCTAGCTTTGCAGACTCCACTTTTGTAAGTGCAGCACTCAGAGTCAATACATATAACGGCAGCTTTGCGTACGCCAGATCGTATTGCTAATGTTAGCAATAAAAAGGGACCAGGCTAGAGGAGCTTATGGAAACCTAATGTCAGATCTAGTCTGTCTTCAGCCTCAAATATTATTCCAGTTGTGGATGCTAGCCTTCAAAAGAAGAAGAAGGATCTGCTTCCAGTGAATGTATTGCTTCTCGCTTGCTTTGAAAAGCGAGGAAGCTGTAGGGTGGAGTCAGTTTCGTGCAAGTTCTACAGCTGTGCTTTCTCAACCTTGGGCATCTTCAGATGGGTGGACTTCAACTCCCAGACGTCCCCAGCAAACGTGGCCGAGAGTTGACATCCACCCATCTTAAAGTTGCCACGGTTGAGAAAGACAGCCATGCTGGTGGAGGAATATTGGGAGTTGAAGTCCGCAAGTCTTAAGACGGCCAACTTTGGAGACCTCGGCTCTCCGATCCGAATTTTCTGCACTGCCTCCAGAAGGCGCATGGAGCCTTCTTTGGAGCCAGTTTGGAAGAGGAATGTTCGTTCTCCGCCCTCTTCAGATACCAGAGCTGTGTGTTACCAGGGTGGAGGGGACACGTACAGGGGGACGTGGAGCACAACCGAGAGCGGTGCGGAATGTGTGAACTGGAAGACCAAAGCTTTGCGCTTCAAAGGGTTCCACGCAGACCGGCCAGACGCCTTGCAGTTGGGGCTTGGTGATCACAATTATTGCCGGTAAGAGGCCGAATCCAGCAGCTTGTGTGGTCTGTCTTCTCCTTCCTTGTACCGTTGACATTTTGGAGAGGAGCGGAGTAGTTTTGTAGCTGTACTTCTCAGTCTTGGGAGCATGAAGCTGTGAGGGCTTCAGGCCAGTCTGCAGCTCCTTCAGTTCCATGGCTAGCTGGGGGATTCTGGGAGTGGAAGTCCACAGAGCTTAAAATCGCCAAGGCTGGGAAACACTGGCTTACAAGAGCCAAGAATGTTTGATAGCATCTTTTTTGACGAACAAGTTTTATTAAAAAGTAGTAAGTGTAAGCTACTGCAGACAGAAATGTATTCTTGGAATTAAAAACATTGCTCAGAAAAATGCTAAGATAAATCTTTCTCTGATTAATGAACAGGTTTATAAAAGTATCTCAATTAAAGAAGGGCACTAGAAATAATACAATACTGGGATATGTTTTCTTAGGCATAGTCCTTAAATCCACTTATGAATTGCTTTATTATGCATTATTTATTCTACAATCCTTCCTTCCTTCCTTCCTTCCTTCCTTCCTTCCTTCCTTCCTTCCTTCCTTCC